ACGGGGTTCACTATTTTGGCTAGGGTGGTCTCGAACTCCTGGCCTCAAGTGATCCACCCGCCTCAGCCTCCCAAAGTGCTGGGATTACAGGCATGAGCCCCTGGGCCTGGCCCCGGCTTCTTTCAGTCTGTTTTATCAGCAAGCTCTTTGGGACCTGCATCTTGTGCCGACCTGCTATCTCATCCTGTGACTAAGAATGCCTAACCTCCTGGGAATGCGGCCCCGCAGGTCTCAGCCTCATTTTACCCAGCTCCCATTCAAGATGGAGTTGCTCTGGTTCAAATGCCTCTGACAGGCAGGTGTCCCTAAACTTCGACACCCCCTTGAGGCAGGCCTTTACAGAGGCCCTGTGGCTGGCAAGGAAACCAGGTTCCCAGCCCCAGCAGAGTCGTCTACACTATCATTCTGCTGTGGACTTCGTCTACACTGATGGAAGAACTCTCCAAAGGACTCAGAGTGGAAATGGGGGCGGGGGAGGAATAACGGTGATTTTTTTTTTCTGCAGGTTTTCCTGTATTTTCTGCAATGAGCATGTATTATTTTTCCATGATTACTAGCATAGTTACTGAATGGTGACCATGTATTCGACACTATGCTACATGCTTTACAGACTCAGAAACCTGCTCTCAGCATCCCGGGGGCATCAACTCCTGCCATCTTCATTCTGCAGCTGAGGACAGTGAGGCACAGAGGAGAGGGGTCCAGAGTCCAGCCGCGGTGACCCGCTTCCAAAAAGCCTCACTCTTTAATGATTTTGCCTCAATCAGAAGAAAAGCAAAGCTGTTTCCATTCCCCCAAAGAATAAAGACCCCCAAGTCCTCAAGATAACTTCCCCTTCCCTTCCCCTGGTACAAAGAAGGCTCCCAACCTCATGGTGACATCCTCGCTGGTGTTTTCCTCCCAGGACTGGCCTCAGTGCCCCTGCTGGAGCCGGCGGTGGGCACGTGCGGAAGCTGATTTTCCTGACACCACGATGCAGGTGAAACCCCTGGAAGCGTGGCCGCCCCTGCTGCTCGCGTGAAAGCGGCCCAGGGCGCGCTCTGCCCCTCAGGCACTGTGGTTCCTCTCCTCCACACAGCTGTCCGAGGTGTCGGTGTTTGGTTTAAAGTCACCGAGGCCTATCCCCTGGCTTCTCACGCAGCAGGCAGCACAAAGATCCCGGCTGCAGACTCCAGGCAGCCATGACGGCGGTGGAGAAAGGACAGGGGCGAAGGTGAAGGCTCCCGGCTGGGGTCCCCGTCAGCTCCCCCGAACCAGCCCTCACCGTGTCAAACGCTGCGCTGCTCTGCGGAAGCCCCAGCCAGAGCCGGGCCGGCCCATCCCCCTACGCACGGCTCAGGAGAAAGGCCGAGTTCCGGGCGCAGCTTCCAGGCCGTCACCATCACCCACTCAGCGGCCTCAGCAGAGCCAGCTCTGGGGCCTCAGCCTTCCCTGTCCCTCCTGCTCGCTCCCCGCCCAGCTCCAACGTCACCCCCTGGAAAATCTCTATGCCCTCCCCACGCACACGCACGGGTGCCTCCGCGGGGCTCCAGTGCTGGTCCACACGCTTCCGCTACGCCCCGGCGTGGGGGTTCGCCAAGCACGCAAAGCCACCTCTGCCCCCGCCCCGGGTTAGCGCTCCAGCTGCCACGTCTCTCCCCGCAGGTTAGCGCTCCGGCTGCCACGGCTCCCCCCACCAGGTTAGTGCTCCAGCTGCCACGTCTCTCCCCGCAGGTTAGCGCTCCGGCTGCCACGTCTTCCCCTCCCAGGTTAGCGCTCAGGCTGCCACGTCTCCCCCTCCCAGGTTAGCGCTCCGGCTGCCACGTCT